TTATATCGATTAAAATACTTCTAGAACACTTCCCTGAACATTTTAAGTGATTTTAATCGGTTATTTCGAAACTATATCAGTTAAAAACTTGTTGCAAAAGTATTAAGAACATTTTAGTTGATAAAGCTTGTAAACTATTAGTTAAAATAGTTAATTAAAAACCTTTTATCAAAATACGTTGTTTTTAACCGTTTAAACGCTTTTTAGAGGCATTTTGCAAAATCTTTTAAATGAAGAAACCTCATGCAGCAGAGAGATAAAAATGATTATACCTACGCAGTGATGCAGACTCACTAATCTCACTACCCTTTTATCTAAGTAACTTTTGACTGTTAGCAAAGTAGCCTTGACTTCATTTTGTCTTTATCAAATCAACAAGATCTTTGCCAAAGTAATTCAATAAGATCTTCATCACCACTTTCAAAGACAATCAATAATAATGGAAATCCAGAGTATTAGAAATTTCATGATGCGTCGTTCTCCTGTAGACTTTTCACTAACGTTTCTGTTCCCTCTGCTAATTCCCCTTTTTCTTCAATCTTCGCTCTATTTATAGAGCATCCTTCAGATAACCTCCTAAGAGCAGTTAACAAAAACTGCTATCACCTTCCACGTGCACGTCCCTCGAATTTTTACCTTAGTTCTACAGTTTAGAAGACTGCTTCCACGTTCCATACGCGTTTTAACCGTTCCTCAATTTATAATTTAGCCATAATTTCGATAGCCATGTAGGTTAACCATTCCCCTCGATCTCGATTTCAAATCTCGAGAACTTTTGAATTGCTTTTGATTTCCCTTAACCTTAACTTTACACTTGATTCTTATTTCTCAATTTTCTTCAAGAATGGACATCAAATATTCTTCCTTCGATTCTCGATTCCAATTCTCGATTTATGTGTTCATACTGCTACAGTGGTCATCGAATGTCTTCCAACCATCTTTTCGATTTATCAAATTTTTAACTAACATATGATCCTCGATTTTCTTTCCTCCGTTTTTCGATCCTTATATCGATTTTTCCACTAACAATTATATATACTATTTTAAAAATCTAATCGGATTGACAGTTCAATCGAAAATAACCTAAAAATCAATATATTATTTATAAATAATTAGATTTTAATTAAACCGATAAAAATGGATAAAATTAAAAGACCGATGAATTTTTGAATCTTGATAAAAAAAATTAAAGATAAATTTTTTTAATATATTTTTTTATAAAAAATAATATATATATATATATATATATATATATTATTTACATCAATTTTAAATAATAATTATTTTATTATATTTTTATTTTATTTTAACTATTACTCATCTATATTTCTTAATATATAATAATTATTTTATTATATTTTTATTTTATTTTAACTATTACTCATCTATATTTCTTAATATATAATAATTATTTTATTATATTTTTATCTTATTTTAATTATTATTCGTAATATACTCTTTAATATATTTTCTTGTAATTTATAATAAAATGATAGTAGTCTTTATCATAAATTTTTCTTTTTGTAAAAAAAATATTATTACTATCTTATTATATTATATAAATATTATTTTATTTAATTTGATTAAATTTCAATTAAACCTTTAAAGGAAGCCACGTTTTTCACCCTTCTCCATTTAAAAAATTGTATAAACTCAAACTCGGTGGGACCTATAAATAACATCAATCAGTCAATGAATCATCCTCCTCAATTTCATAATGTTCATAACAAGCTTAATATATGTGAATTTTATGCCAAAGCTTCATATCGTCTTATCTACTTGTACTTGTTATATAAAAACTTTTTATAAATTAAAACTTTCATCAACACATACTTTTTAATAGTGATGATAAAAGTGATAAATTTTTGTTTGATAATTTATAATTGAATAATAATATAAAAAATTACACTTTTATGTTTTTATTGTAGTTTTTTCTTTGGCTTGGGAGTAAACAAAATGAAACACATGTTTGGGTTCGCAAACGAATTTTGGCGCCACCTACTTTCATGTATCACGACTTGTATAAATTCATTTTCTCTTTCCTTTTCAAACACGTTCATTCACGGGTTATATATTACATTTCACTCTGTCATACAAATTGTAGTACAAGGAAACTTCCTAATTCCGTCTTTCAGTTTGGTTCGAATCCTTGAATATAACAAAATGAATAAATAGTTTCTAATATTAATGACAATATATAATTTTATTTATATCATTTTTAAAATTAAAAGTAAAAATTTGTGCTCGCATCCTTCGGCCTGCAAACTCAAGTACTAAAACATACTTCATTAGACTTTTTTTCATAAATAATACTGTTTTTAAAAATATTTTCTAAAATAAGCACCTTTGCAACTTTATTTACACAACTAAGCATCATTCATCGTTCACGTAATAAAATAATATTATTTTGCACAATCATGTTCATCGTTCATATATTAAAATAATATTATTTCGCGCAATGAACTCTCGCTCAAGCGAAGAAACCCCTCGCTTGAGCGAGGAAATCTGTAACAAAGGAGTAATCTCGGGTCAATTATCGCTCAAGCGAAGAAACCCTTCGCTTGAGCGAGGAAATCCGTAAGAAAGGGTTATCTCCGGTCAACTCTCGCTCAAGCGACGGCTATTTCGCTTGAGCGAGAAGTGATTAAAATATGTAGTGACCCAAGTTGCGTTATGTGGCTAACTGCGTTGGACATTTAGCCAAATAATGCAACTTGGGTTTAGATAGCGGTTCTAGAGCTAACCGCTATTATATGTTCCTTCTAAGAGCGGTTAAAATATTAACCGCTCTTAAAAGTGAGACATATAGTTGGGTCGTGGGCAACTATCGCTCAAGCGAGACACTCATCGCTTGAGCGAATATATTTATAATCGATTATAACGTGAAATAATCGATCATAATTTTAAAATAATCGACATATAATAGCAGTTTCACGTTAACCGCTATGTTAAATATACTTTTAATAGCGGTCAATTTTACAACCGCTATCTGAAATCTCGGGTAAATTCAAGCTCAAGCGACGGTAAATTCGCTTGAGCGAGAAGTGATTGAAATATGTGGTGACCCAGGTTGCATTATGTGGCTAACTGCATTGGACGTTTAGCTATGGTCAATTCTCGCTCGAGCGAGAAGTGCATCGCTTGAGTGAGAAAACCTGTAGGTGACCCAGGTTGCATTATATGATGTTGCTTGAGAGGGAGTTTGTTATGTTTATGAAATTATCTTGTTTCTGTATTGTTTTACCTGGAGCTGATCGTAATTGATTCATCGAAGGTGAATATGGGGATGATAGCATGTAAAGAGAATTTAAAATTTCTTGATCGATGGTTGGTTGGTTACTCGGGGTTAAAGTGCTTGAGGTTGTGGGGTTGTCAAGCATCAATTCTGTGGAGTGGCTTAGAATGATCAAAGAAGTGTTTTTACAAGTATTTTAATCGATACAAATTACTTTTAATAGATTAAAAACCTTTAGAACCCATTATGACCGATCAGAACTTATTTCAATCGATTAAAACACATTTCAATCGATTAAAATCACTTAAAGGGTCAGAATGATCGATCAGAATACAGTTATGACCGATCAGAGTTGGTTATGATCGATCAGAATTGAATTATGATCGATCAGAATTGAATTATGACCGATCAGATCTGTTTCAATCGATTAAAACGCATTTAAATCGATTAAAATAACTTGAAAAAATTTTGTACAGAGTTTCAATCGATTAAAACACGTTTCAACCGATTAAAACAACTTGGAAAAATTTTGTACAAAGTTTTAATCGATTAAAACTTCTTTTTATCAGCTAAAATAACTTGGAAAGTTTTATAAGAAAGTTTTGCAGTATATCAATCGATTAAAACACGAAACAATCGATTGAATCAAACTTAGAAAAGTTTTGTAAAGTGTTTTAATTGATATAACCGTTGTAGTATCAGGTAAAACAAATCTGTTAAAGAATCAAGAACGTATTAATGGATTGAAAGGACTTTTAACAGATTGAAACGGCTATTTCAACAGATTAAAACCTTAGCACTTTTTCAAGAAGGATTCGCAACAATTTTTTGAAGTTCTTTTGAAATATATTTTTAATAGCGGTTAGTTCTAGAACCAAGATTGGAATCCTAACTTAGGTGGGTAACTCAGCATTGGATTCTTTACTTGTGTGCATCAGAAAGACATGGGAATCCTGACTTGGGTGGGTGACTCAGCATTGTAAATAGTTGCAGGTTTTCTCGCTCAAGCGATGGTTTTCTCGCTTGAGCTAAAATTGACCAAGCTAAACGTCCAACGCAGTTAGCCACATAATGCAACTTGGGTCACCACATATTTCAATCACTTATCGCTCAAGCGAAAGTACCCGTCGCTTGAGCGAGACAGAACCCGAGAGTCCCCCTTGTTTGAAGGCTTCATCGCTCAAGCGATGACTTTGTCGCTTGAGCGAGTGTTGACCGAATGATGAAACGTCAAACGCAGGTAGCCAAATAATATAACTTGGTTTCCTCACTCAAGCGAAGGGTTTCTTCGCTTGAGCGAGAGTTCATTGCACAAAATAATATTATTTTAATACGTGAACAGTAAACAGTTGCAGGAAATAATATTATTTTAATCCGTGAACAGTAATCAGTGTTAGTTGTGTAAATAAAGTTGCAGAGGTGCTATTTTGGAAAATATTTTTAAAAACAGTATTATTTATGAAAAAAACAGCATTTCTAATTTTACAAACACTCAAATAATGGCATACTTGGACACTTTCACACACATTCTTTACGTATTGGACATTTTGTTAATGAAATTTAGAAAGTAACACCATCTAACAAACAGTAAATGAACTACAGATATTAGTGATCCATCATTTTAACAATTGCAGGACACAATTCCTTATCTACTACATGTGACTGATCCTCACCTGGCTCAAAAGAAATTACATTCTAAAGAGGATGATCATCAGCAACCACTTCAACACCCACACAGTATATTATTACACGTTTCTCTCTATATTTACTTCTTTCCCTTCTTGCCCTGCTTCTTCTTCTCTGCATGACATGCATAAAATAACTCTTAGAAACTGGCTCCACAACTAAATATTTATTATTGTTAAGCATTCTGATAGGGGCTTGGGTATTCAAGGCTCATATGGAGTAGTACTGAATGTTCGCGTTATTTAAGTTTTTGATTCTCCCCTGTTAATAATTAGTTTTTGAGATAGGTTCCCCAAGTGCTTGGGCGCTTACCAATTAGTATCAGAGCTTATTTTAGTATAAGATTTTGATCAGTAGAGGATTTTGACCAACAAAGATATTGACTTAAGGATGTTACCATGAAAGGAAATTGAGTAGTATGGGATGACTAAGTCCTACATCAAATAGTATGAGATGTTCAGTTGAATATTTAACTATTTGGTTCTCCCAACTTAATAGCTAGCTTAAATTGAGTTCTCCAAGTGTTTGGATGCTTATCCCATCACTTTGATCACCAAGTAATCAATGGTTGAGATTTACTTAGCTAAGCTCAAAATTTTAATACTTATTGTAATCATTCATCTTTTTTTCATTCAATACATAATGTTATTCTGTAGTACTCCTCTTCTTTATTTATAAGCTTTATGATGTGTGGTCATAGCTCAACATCAAGATTCCTAATCAAACTCGGTTTTATCACACTGATTATATAGACCCGACTTGATCTTTGAAGTTTGAGGGGATTTTTAAATTGGTAAAGAGAAAAGTGAATCCAAAGAACCACACAATTTCACATGCTCAACTCTTACGTTTGGGCAAGCAAGAGAGTGGATGTTTCATCAAGTAAAAGGCGAAGAAAGATTAAAAAAACATGGTAGGATCCACAAGATTTTTTTTTCCAGCACAATCTACTAAAGAAAAACTCGAAAAGTTATCATTCTCTGGAACATAATTGATTATGGAAGTTTGTAATATAGTTTTTGGCCTTTCTTATCATAATAACAATACTAATAAAAAAAATTATTAATAATTAATTAAGCAATAACAATCTTGTTTCCACTCTATTTTTCACCTATACTCTTCCTCTATTTTCTTTTTCACTTACTTTCGTTCCCTCCATTTCTTTCGTTTCATCTAAACATACTATTAAATAGAAAGTTCAGTTGAGAACCAAGAATTCACAACACATACTTTGATACATTAAAATAAACTGCACTTCAAATGCATATACGTATAGGAGAAAGAGCTCAGGAAGATTAGCTACCTAGTTTTCTCCTAGCTTCAGATTTTGCAAAGAATTCCATCCATTCATCAGTTAGAACAAAAATTGGATCATCATCCTCTTCCTCACCATCAAGCTCTATATGCTCCAGCTCTTGTGGAATCCTGGAACCAATCAAAAGTATCATTGGATTGATCCATTACCTTACCTTGATTAGGAAAAAAAAAAAGCAGATTACTTGAAGTAGCCATACTGAAACCTAGGATTCAACCTGTTTCATTGTTTCCTATCTATAACAAGCAAACAGATACGACAACAAATTAAACCGTTCAGAAACAAAAAATATAGTTATATTTCTCAGGTTCATCATGATTGCATAACAACTAGAATCTAATAATTAGTAACAAGAGACAACATCAGTTATTGTTTATTGGGCTCTTTTAGGGCAAGAAAGAACAATGGAAAACGTAAACTCACCATGCCAGTTATCTATCATAGAATAAATTAACTACGTTTAAGAGAATGGTGATATATATAGTCCATTTAAGATCTCAAGGGAAAAACTTCTTATTGAAGAGCAATAGCTCAATTAAAGAATTGATTTACATAACTCTGCACATATTTGTCAGTAACTTACGGTCAGAGGCAGTTTCTTCCATAATAATTCGAACTATTGTTGTTCAATTTTTGTTCCTTTATTCCATTCTGTAATTCTTTTAGGATCTAGATGCAAGGTATGAGACTTGATTTCCACGTTGTAAATACATGATTCTGGTGTCAGATTTATGTGTCCAATAGACTCTCCAACTACAAAAACTAACTTCTGTAGCATGGTTTACGAATGATTTTATCAAATTGGCAGCAAAAGCTTTCATCAGGTCTCAGTTACAAGAAATAGATTAGTGGTTCAACTAACATTGCAATGTTCACTAGGGACTAGACAAAGGATTAATGCACAATCAGTCATTGTCCATTCCATAGTAATACTAATTAATCCTATAATTTTTCTCCATTTATAGAACTTCAATCTTCTTACTTTCTGATCAATGGACTCTAGTTAAACATTTTTTTTTAACCCAAACATATTCCTCGTCAGTCACCACATACAAATCAGATAACATGCCCAGTTAAGATGTCCAGTCCACACAAAAATACAAAATCATAATGAAGCATCCCTTTAATCTCTTTTTTCCCTCTTAAAACGTTTCTGTTCACCAAATATAGCTTAACCATCTCAAGGTTTCAGTAATCATGATTTTCAATTACAATCCACAACCAGAACCACAATATTGTATTTCCAAGGTCTCTGCAACCGCATTAAGGACGCAATTGCAGTCCCCATACGGCCGAAATTTCAGTAATTGCAATGCAACTACAACTACAACCACATCACAACCCTTCTCATTGCTCATAAGTCCCATTACTCACAACAACTAAACAAGTCATTGCTCAAATCTAAAATAATAAAAGAAAATTACATTCTTCACTTTCGAAACTCATCAAGCTCCTCAAAGTTTCACAATCTCCAAAGGATGTTCCCTAGCGTTTTTATTTTCTGTTATCACATTTTAATTACAAAATGTGAGTATTTTCGCTCCGCTCTTGTTTTCAAAGATTTATACGAGTAAGGAGAAAACAAGAAATAAAAGCACAAGTAAAGGCTTCAAATTTCTTCTCCAATCAACTTAAGAAAACCCCTCACTTTCTTTTCCCTCTGAAGCACGTTAACTTACCCGCTTTCCTTTCACTACTAAATACACGTTACGTTTGTGAGCAATAACAATAATAAAATAGAGGGACTAAGCTACGGAGAAAGAGCAAAATAGAAGAACTTACGGAGAATCAGAATAAATGGGTTGTTGTTGTTGTTGTTGATGATGATGATTATGAAGAGGCTCAAAATTGGGATGCGTTTTCTGAAAGGGAGGGAAATATGGTTGAGATTGAGGTACGAGGAAGTTGACAGCGTGAAAGTGGTGGTTGTGGAAAAGGCAGTGGTGGCAGTGACGGCGGAGTGGACAGTGGAGGCAGTGCTGCCGCGGCTGATGATGGGTAGTGTGCTGAGGGCATCGCCTGCATCCTTGCGAAGCCATTGCATCAGCAATAGCACGGCTATGTTAGCGGTAGGTTAAATATGAAAGCTTCGTTGTTGGAGTTAAATATATTACTAATGATGTTAGAGTCAGAGTTAAATATAGTTATATTGGTAAGAAAAATATATTGTGAGAGTTAAATATATTTATATTTTTCTAACATATAATTGTATTTATCTTGGTTTCAAAATATGTTTGTTTGATTTTTGGTTTCTATATAAAATAGTTTTCTGTTTTTCTATTTTACTTTAGTTCAACTAAAATATTTACTGTTTATTTGTTTTTGTAACATATAGCTTATTTGTTTTTTTTTTTCTGTGAATTATTTTCCAAAGGTTATAATTCAAAATGAAAGTAAAAAAAGTATTAAAAAGACTTAAAGAAAATAATTAAAAAAATTAAATGAATTTAAGTTCTTTTTTACATAAAGATAAAGAAAAAAAAAACTTACAAATTATGCATCACATACATCATGTTTTTGATAAGCTTAATCTCTTATTACAACATCAAACAGCCAAATAGGAAGAAATGTATATAAAATTAAAGATTTTTATTTTATATTTTTAAATTTTTTATTTATAATAAATATTATATTTTACATAATTTTTATTTACACTTTTTTTGTCTATTTTCTTTTATCTTTGTCTTGATATTTTTTTTCTCTTATTCATTTTTTTACTTTAATTTTTCTTATTAAATATTAAAAATAATAAAATAGGCTAGACTCGAAGGGTTAACTATTAGTCCATATAAATATATTGAGAAAGATTAGTAGTTTAGTCTGTTAGCCTATTTTGATCATTTCTATTTAACTTGCTAATATGACGAATAAAAAATAAGACAAATTGATCAGTTGACTTACTTTAAAAATTATTTATACATTAAAAATAAAAATAAAAATGATTATAATTAAAAAATATTAATTTTTTTATCATATTATTGAAATATGTAAATATATTGTAAGATTATCACTTAAATTTAAATTATTTATTATAATTAATAAATAAATATAGTACTTTTTTAATTTATCTAATAAAATTATTAATTAATAAATAAAAATTTAAAAATTATTCATATAATTAAAAATATATTTTAACAAATATATATTTATATATTTATAAAAAAATTATTGGGGAATTGATTCAATGATATATTAAACTGCCCTTTGATGGGGTGAATTGGAATTTATAGTCCATCTTAATTGTGACAGATCAATTTATTCTATCTCATTTTTTGTGAATTAGAGGTGAGACAGACCAAAATAGTATGAATTAACCAATTTTGTAAGACACTCATTTTATATTTTTACATTTGTATCTTTTTTCTTTCTACCCATTACAACATAAAATTTATAAATTTTTCTCTTTAGTTTTCAATATTTTTTTTATAATTTCATTTTTTATAGCATAAAAATTATAATTTTCTGTTCTTTAATTTTTATTTTTTTCTTCTTATGTTCACATTGTTGAAGCCATAAGACAAAAGTTAAAAAAATAAATAAATGACATATATCCCATAATAATTTTCTTGAACTAAGAAAATAGTAAACAAAATTATATTCTTTATTGCTTTTGCTTATTATTACAAAAACCTAACATGTGCAATATAGTATAAAATTATAAAAAATAATATATATATATATATATATATATTATATTTAGTATTAATTAGATAATTATTTTAATATGTTATGATATTCTTTTGAAATTAAAATGTGAATAAAAAACAAATTATAGAGTATTTTTTTTAAGAGAAAAAGAGAGGATAAATAAAGAAAAAAATATTTAATTTTTAAAATTTAAATTCAATTAATAATATTAAATATATTGTTAAATATTTTATATAATATATTTATTTTTATATGATAATTATTGTTTATACGTGATCCACGTGTAAACTTCCTAGTTGTAGATAAACCAAAATATAACATGATTTAGGAATAAGGATGATAAAACTATGCCACTTATTTAATATATAAATATTTTGAATGATTAAATGACCAAATATATTTCAACTGTTTTTAAGATGATATTTTGCATATTTTTGAGATAATTTTTAAGGTTTATTTGTACTTAAATCAAATTTTTAAGACGAAAGTAGAGTTATTCCAAGTTTATAACATTCTTCTTTTCCTTATTATATTTTTAGATTTATCGGATTTTGAATACCTCCAACTTTAGCATTCCAGTGCAAAGTTATAAAATTGAGGTAAAATTTTCATAGGAGAGGAGCAAAGAAAGTTGAAAATTTTGTACATAATTTATATATTAAAATGTTGAATGGAACCTCTAAAGAGTCTTCTGTAGTTTACACTTAGATAAACATGAGTTTGGAAGCAAAACATGAATTGATTTCCGATTCGGAGTTCTTATAGTGTAATGAAATCAAAGTTTATTAAAAATCAACAAAACTTCTATGTATTTTATCTTTGTGTAGTCTCGATCCACAATAAAAGTGATATGAATTATAAGGGGTGATTTAAGATTTTAAGGTTAGAACCTTATAAGAAATTTAGAAATTTAGTGATAAGGTGGAAGGAAAGAATCACTATTTCTAAGGAAGACAACACATAAATGATGTGAAAGTCCTTTGATACAAGTGTTCTTGAATCACTCGAGAACGTAGGAGAATCACTCTCACTAAGATAAAGAGATAAACTCTAATATTTCTAAAAATAAAACTCAACTTGTTATTTATAATAAAAATAGTTCAGCTTATAAAGAAGCTTTGTCATTAGAGTTACAAATATTCATTAAAAGAAAATAAATACTAATAATGATTTATTAACCTAGGAATTGAAAACTACTTAATGATTAGTTGTAACTGAAACTGTAGCATCTAAAAGTCAATCAGTTATGCACCATCTTGGTCTCCCAAAGACTGATAACTAAATTTCCAATTGGGCCCTTATTACAACTTACAATAAAACTAAACTAAAGCCCATTAATTGATTAAGCCAAAACACAATTTGGTCAACCAACAATACTTGTTGAAGAGTTTCATTTGCTTTCCTTGCTCTAGCCCTTATCATAGGTCATATTCTCATCATTCTCTCCCTCTTGAAAAGGATTTGTCCTCAAATCGGATTCGTCATCTACATTAAAAAGAGATAAGTCTGACAAATTGAATGTATAACTAACATTATACTCACTTTTTATTGCTAAATAGCTCTCCTTCTGATATAAATCACAATGGGTGATTTAGGATCTTTAAGGTTAGAACCTTGTAAGAAATTTAGGAATTAGAAAGAAGGTAGAAGGAAATAATCACTCTTTCCAAGGAAGGCAACTCACAAAGGATGTGAAAGTCCTTTGATACAACCAAGTGTTCTTGAATCACTCAAGAACATAGGAGAATCACTCTCACTAAGATAAAAGAGATAAACTCTAATATTTCTAAAATTAAAACTCAATTTGCTATTTCTGATAAAAATGGTTCAGCTTATAAAAAAGTTTTGCCATTAGAGTTACAAATATTCATTAAAGGAAAATAAATGCTAATAATGATTTATTAACTTAGGAATTGAAAACTACTTAATGATTGATTGTAAGTGAAATTGTGTTATCCAAAAGTCAATCAGTTATGCACCCTCTTGGTCTCCCAAAGACTGATAACTAAATTTCTAATTGGGCCTTTATTACAACTTGTAATAAAACCAAACTAAAGTCCATTAATTGATTAATTCAAAACACAATTTGGTCAACCAACAATACTTGTTGAAGAGCTTCATTTGCTTCCCTTGCTCTAGCTCTTATCATATGTCATGTTCACATCAGAAAGACTCCTAACCGACGTTCACTACTACTTGCTAAGTGATCTCATAACTTGAGCTTTCCTTAACCAGCAACTGATAGAGGGACACTTTGTAGACAACTTCACGTCCTCGCCACTTTTTTTTGGTGACTAGCTTCTCAAGTGGGGGTGGCTTGGTAAGCAAACAATCTTTAGCATAGATACAATCCTCCTCGATAGGTTAAAATGATAGGGAAGGAGGTCATCCCATTTCAATAAATGGTATTAAAAGTGATGCAAATTTCTAAAAAAATTAAGAAAATCAAGTTCTAAAAAATATTATTTAAATTCTAGAAACTATTAGAACTATAAATTTTATATAAGTAGTTTCTAGAATTATTACAAGAATTTAAAAAGATAAGTTAAAGTGTAATGTAAGAAGAATAATCATTAAGTTCCTAGAAGATTTTAAAGAAGAGTGTCTCATGTTTATAATATATATAGGTGGTGACCTCCTCACTTGTAAGTAAAACACTTATAAGATCAATTATTATCTTCTCTTATATAAATCTTCTCCTACTTGTCTACCTTTGTCTAAAAACTATTTTCTATAATCTACACTACCTAACCATCTTTCTTATTCTTAAAGTACTAACAGTTGTACCAGAACTAAGTTCTAGATAAAATACCCAACTATCTTCAAAAGTCTAACCATATTTCATACAAATCTCAACTAATGCCTAATGTCAATCCTTTCTTATACCTCTTTTCATGGGAGAAAATTATGACTTTTGGAGCATTAAAATGAAGATATTTTTTCCTTTCAAGATCTATGGGAGCTTGTAGAATATGACATCATAGTTCCTACAAATATTTTCACACTAACGACTGCTCAAAAGAAGGAGTTGAAAGAGAATAAACAAAAAAACTCAAAGGCTTTATATTTTCTACAAAAAGTTATGGTTGATGTCATTTTTCCAAGGATAATGGATGCCATAAGTGCAAAAAAAGCGTGGAGTATACTGTAGAAGGAGTTTCAAGAAAGTGTAAAGATAGACCCCATTAAATTTCAATTATAAAACGTGACTTTGAGTTATTTAGTATGAAGGAATCTGAAACCATTATGAATTATTATACTAGAATGAAAGAGATAGTTAGTTAAATGAGAGCATGTGGAGAAAATATTATGGACAAGAAAATCAGTTAGTATCGCGCAACGGAATGTTTGCATTAAAGACAAAAACCAAGAGGGGGGTGAATTGGTTTCTTATAAAAATTATCCCTTTAAAAAATTTTCGCAAGATTTTACCGATTAAACGATAATATAATAGAGTACTTGAAAAGTAAAGAGATAAGGGAAGAAGATTATACAAGTAATTTATACTGGTTCGGATCAAAAGACTCTACTTCTAGTTGTTAATCACTCTAAAAGAGGATTAACTCAGTTATTAAAATAATGGTTCTCAGATAAACAGATTACAAATAGAAAAGGATTAAAAAACACCTCTCTTGAGTCACACAAGAGATGAACACCTCCTTTGAAGCCACAAATGATGAAGACAATTTTTCTAGAGACGACACAACACTCAATCCACTAAGATTCCCACTCAATGTTTCTTATCACTTCTAGCCCACACTAGGTTTTCAAAGCCCATTTTCGTTCCCTACTCAAAGTTATCCCAGCAATCACAACTCTTAATTTTCTGAGTATGAAAAAGGTTTGTCCTTTTTTGTAGAGAGCA